AATAATTGTAAATAAATGCAGAGTGTAAGGCAAGACATGCATTGATAATAGCTGAGTGAGCATTAAATGCGTCTGCAGTAGACTTACTACAATACGTTTGTAGTAAAATAAAATATGGTTAAGTGCTGACGGAATAATTATTACATTAGAGTTTATATTTATTCAACAAGCAGAACTGAAACTTTATCGTTTACAATCAACGAGAGGGTATCCGTGATGCCGTACAACAGGCTTTAGATGCCGTATACACAGCTTGCATACATTGCTTTCAGTACACTGAGTTCGGCAACTTGTAGCTTCAGCTGCTGACGGCAGGCGTTTTTTAACCGTTCAGTAGCTCCAGAATAAATTCCCTCATACTCAACGATAAGCGCAGGACTTTGAGGAGCGTTTCAGTTTGATGGGAAAAATCTAAGAGATGATTCGATCGATATTGACAATCTGTTGCATAAATTCCAGGGGTATCAGATAGGTTAGCGCAACGGTAACTTTGTAAGATTTATTCGTGAAGCACACGACTAGAATTTCGACCGGATAACAGGGTACCCTGATCTAAAAAACGTGGTTTTCCTATGTCTCTTAAGGTGAGTCTGGGGATAATCGTTTTTGTTCATCGTATTTAGTTTGTCTCTTGTTTTAATTGCCAACATGTCACTACAATACAGCAAAGTTGATGAAATTTCAGATTCTTCTTCTGAAGGCATTTTATTTGAAGGAGTACATATGAAAGTAACTGACAGCCATATTAAATAAGGTAAAAACTCATCGATCAGAAAAACTTCTGTATAACCGTTACTGCAATTTAAAAAAATTCGTTCTGAACAGCAAAATTTATTGTTACATATATGCAATATAAGGTTTCTTATATCCATACGTGAAATAAGTTTTTTACCAGTGAGATACTTGTATTATTTATTTTAGTTTATTTTTTTTAACTTCATTATGGTGGTGTTAATACTAATAAAATGCGTCAGAAAGCAGACGAGTGTCATCTGAATAGCACCGACTAGTCAGTTACACAAAATGTAACTACATCCATAAACAAATCAACAGCACTAATGTGGCTGCAGTATTTTGCTCGTTACTATTAATTAATTCATTTTCGTTTAAATTATTAACAAAAGTGAGTGGGCGAAAAATTGCTTGAAGTTTTCAAGCATCTTGAAACAGACCAAGAGCATGCGTCTTGGTTTTTAATGTTATAAAAAGTATGTTTTTCTTGGGAAAGGAAATAAATTACAGACGACTGAAGGCTAAGCGATCAGGAATACATTTGAATATAAGAACGATGAAGTAAGTGCAGAATATAATGTAACGAAAAATATATTGCGATATATAGGACTACTGGTGACCTGTACAACGGAATTACAATGAACTGGACGGTGACCGGTAGCTTAAATGGTTAGGTGAGAAAAGCGAGTAGAATTTTGGTGGACAAATCTTTGAAAGCGGCATCACGGGAGATTCTAGAAAAATCATATCAAGATAAATCTTAGATAAATACGTGATATTTCAGGTTCCCACAGCAGCGAGAATGAGAGATAGTTGTCAGAGACCTTAACGGTCGAGTACCGATTAAAATTTTATACATTTCGGACAAATATTAAACTATTTGATACGATCCCTTGTGTAGGATATAACATTTGGGAGAAAGTAAATTCAGTCAAATCACAACTCTTCACGTCTCCAGAAGGACGGGTACAAACACGATTGTAGGAGTGGAGCACGCGACTCCCCTCACTGTCCACCCACGCTCCATTGACTCGTGCTCAGATTCGAACACGGGCCCTGGGCAGGTATGTGCGTGAGGTGGTCTGGATACAGTTAAAAGACGATTCAGTTGGAGCAACGACGTTGCAAATCAGAAGACCAACTCCGTCATCTACACAAACAGGTTTAGAAGTGTTATTAGTAATCGCATTTGCGGGCTGCTATTTGTACTGCAGGCCTACGATGTGAGACAATACCGGTCCTAGGAAAACCTGCAGCTATTTTATCGGTCCGCTTACAAGAAAAGGTTAAGATTTACTGCACTACATAAATATGCCCATTCTTAACACCTGGTTTCGCACATACTGATTTAACATGTCGTTACTACAAAAAACATGATTAAATAAGCAACCTGTACAGGCCTTGGATATGAATGTGTAGGCTTACATGAACTTAAAACAGGTGTAGTGTCACAACGAAAGTAGAAATCACTGTAACTGCCTTATTATTTATGGAGCAAATGTATGGACCGTAACACGTTTCCAGAAGTACATATGTTAACAGTTGCAGCCACATCAAATAATAATTAATGACCAAAGCCAATTTTATTAATTATGCAGCATTGATTTCGTGCTGACAGGCGTACAAGAATTCGAGGCGATTACAAAGGTATCGCAGACTTCTGTAAAATATTTTATAATTTATATTAAATATGAACTCACACTATTCAGAAAGCACAGAAAGAGGTCTATGTACGATTACGGGTTAACGTAAGTATATGACAAGTTTAAATATTAATTTCACGAACAAAATAATTGCATATTCAATATATTTTTATTTATATGTCCAGTTATTTTACCGTAGTCATAAGCACTCGTTTTTTTCTAAATTTTCAAGTCACTAACTTATAGAGGCTTGCAAAGTAAAGTCCAGCACTAGGGATTACTAAATTCTTGGTCTTTGTCTACCGTCTGATATCAAAAAAGCACAACGTATCGGAAATTGAATCTGTTTCCATCCTCAGATGAAAAGAGATGGTCATCTACTCAGTTGAGTCCGTTAGAAAAAGCTAACAACGGTCACTAGACTGGAATACCGGAAGACGGACAAAGTCCAGGAGTTTAGTGTTCCCGACTGTGACACACCATCGTCAGGTCCCTTTAAAACTGAGTAATAAAGTCCATCAATTTGTTCAGAGTGAACAGAGTCGCTGGAATTAAAGAAGTTACATGTTAATTTGTTATCATTTGGAGACCTACAGGCAATGAACCGTCGAAAGAGTCTCGAAGACAAGTTCAATAAAAAGGATAATAAAATGGGACAACAAATGGGGCCACGACGTTTCAAACACACAGAATGGGGTGTCCCGATGATAACTCACAGCGGGAGACAAAGAAGCGACCGGTTGGAGACTTTGTATATTAATGGCAATTTAATAGGCGAAACACAATGCCTCGTCAATCACTTGCGAAACGGAATAATTTTCAGTAGGACACACATAAGAGGTAAACGAATCTCTCCAACAACACTTTATGGGTCTCTCTGAACAATAATGCACGGAAGGCGTGTGTAATTGCATGTAAACGTGATGTCTCAGCTCATCGGTCGGCAGCGTCTGAGGCAGAAAGGGACAGAAAATAAAGAGAGAAAATACAAAGACAGTGCTTTGTTTTCCTCTTGAGACAAAAAAGTTTTGTCGCTATCAACAAACATAACTTATTTGCACCGACAGTAAGCGATATGGACACTCAAACGACTAGCTTTTAAACGTGAACCAAGTGTTCAGGTTGCACAGATTATACACCATTTTGCATTCACATGTTTACAACAATAGACACTAATGGATATTCTATCGTCTTGTATATCCTTTATGCCATAGGCTGTTCTGTAAGTCTGGAATAAGTAAGTTTGGTGAAAACTAGAACAAATAAGCCGCATCTCGACAGTTTTAAATTAAATTTAGAGCAACAAGCAACATCCTACATTTCCTTTTTTAAGAAGAATTATGGGCACGTACCACTCTAATGCCCGCCACGGTGGTCTAGTGGTTAGAACGCTGGCCTTGTAATCCTGGGGTCTCGGGTTCGATTCCCGGCGGTGCTCGAATTTATAACTTGTGTTGGGCAAGGCCGTGGTCTAGGCAACACGGAGTTTTCTTCCGTGGCATCCCAACAATTACTCCATTCACACACAGAAGAAGGCAATGGCAAACCACTTCTGGATCATCTGCCAAGAACGTATATGAACAGGTCCCAGTCCCAGAAAAGGATGGAAGGATCCTGTTCATATGGACCTGTCGTCAGACAGAACACTAAATAATAAAAATACCACTCTAATACAAAATGGTGTACACGTACAGACGGAAAGTAACGGTAAAACGAAAATAAAAATCGAATACTCCATAGTTCTTCTAACAAAACGTTTCGTACGCACGAAAAGAAAAATCGAATATCCGTAGTTCTTCTAACAAAACGTTTCGTACGCAACTCCACTGAGTAGAGACTTTCTTGAGGAGCTGGATCAGAGTCCCTCGGTTGTTCGGGAAATTCCCAGCTGCTTAAAGAACAAATACTTGATTACCGTGTTCACCCTGTCCTGAAAGAGATTATCTACCCACACTAACACACATTATTTCTTGTAACATTCGTTTTAATATCACACTCTCCTCTATCAACTATGCGCTGTCTGCTTCCATCAGATATTCCGGCTAAAATTATGTATTTATAATATATTTCATAAGCTCCGCCCTTATTATAGACCTTAATTTGATCAACCCATTAGTATTTGGTAAAGAATAAGTTATGAAGCTCCTCTTTATGTAATTTATTTTCCCATTCTCCCATTACCACTTCGTTTTCGGTTCAGAATATTCCCTTCTTCACGTCGTTCTTAAACAACCTCGTCCAATGAACATATTCTTCTCCTACGGCGATTGAATAAGTTTCACACCCATAAGCTGGTAAAACAAACTCTGATGAAGCCGCCTGCGATATTTTATTCCCAAACTGGGTGTGGATGTTATGCGTTTCAATGAGACTGTCTATTCGCAACCTTGTACGGTGTCGGGAGGGGAGGGGATTTGAAGAGGCCTATACACTGTGATTCATGAATCTTTATTGAAGGCGGCAGAATCAGTTCGATACACCCATTTGCATTGACCGAAGAAAGTCACAAGGAGTTTTCTAATGTTGAACTCAGCGGCCTGGAAATTACCGTAACCAACAGCAGAGCTACTTTCTGCTATATCATGAGAAAATATAAAATTAAAAACCTGTACTTTTATTTAGTTATTTTTAATTGTATGTATCGGATGATTGAGTGATTGATAATTAATGAACTGGAAGAAAGCAGTCATAACCTAATTGGAAGCAAAAATATATCGTTATTTCCCTGAAAGGACTGAGAAAAACCATGAACATTCCCCAGACATGACAACCGGTCTACTACAGAGACTAAACATTCCCTGACTTCTGTATTGTATAAATCCTTACGTAAAGGTAAGAGTTGAATTCGTTTCACAAATGATTGTGTAGTATGTTCCTAAAATCTGTGAGGATTATTCTTGTAATGCAGTTGTTAATTCAGTGTGGACCATTGCTAGGCTTACAATTAGCCCTAGGAACAGGCCTATTATATATTTATATATATATATATGCTCCTTTATTTCATTGTTTCTACAGAAGTATTCATCGGCACAAAATAATTGTTGAAATTTACTATGTCCAAAGCTAATAACCAGTTCATAAACGCGATTTGCCACCCTTCGATAATCTGAGGTGGTAGCTAAGAAATCTTGTCCTAGGGCTTCACAATTTCAGTCCTAATAACACATCATCTCTGTGTATAACACAACTAATTATGTATTCAAGTTGCAGGAATTTTGAATCACATCAAGATTTTCTGAACATAAGAATACTTAAATACTTGATGTAAGAAAAAATAATACGCATAATTACACAAAATTATATGACCTTATTATCAACAACGTAAGAAGTCTGGCGCGATTAATCGCTCAGCTCACCTTCTCAGGAAATAATTCCCCAGAAAATAACATCAAAAATATAAATGCAAAAGTATGAAGTAGCTTTAATAGTGATGTATGTAGTACGATTAAGCTGTTATCATAGTCCTACCTGACAGCAAAGCCGGCCAATTCAAATACCTGTCCTCCGTTAACCGAATATCATTCATCTCATTTACATAACTGACCATTGTTTACAGGAAGTATCCCATAATAAATATTGTGGGATGGATCAAACTTCTGTCTGCGTAAATATATAACTTATTTACCTCACAATTAAACAAATATTTAAATTATGATATAAATAATAAAACTGTTTACAATTAGTCTAAAAATTAAACTTTGGAACAGGGCTACCTGAATGCATCCATACCTTCATCATGAGTAATATGCAGTTGCACTATAATTTCTTGAGAACAATTCAATTGTCACCTTCTTTACAGTGTGAATATTAATGACAATGCAATAGGCTTACCCGAAACGTCCTCATTCTAAGAAATAGTAACATTACATTTGGAACAATGGGCCTACTACTTTCATAAGTTTTCACGTTCCGAATGACTCAACTGAATTTTTCTAACACATAGATGCACAAGTTTCGCTCAATACACAGACAATTGAAAAGTTCCGTTGAGCGTTCATGACATAACATAACATAAAATGTTTTCTTTTAATTATACATTAGAACCATGCACCTTTTCCCTATGCACATATATACTTTCATTGCTATTTGCAATCAACTGATATAAATTATAAATAAAATAGAGTCGCCTGACTCAAATAACATTGTGAACAATTCATAACAAGCAAGTCAGCAGTACAGTGTATTTAAAGCAGATTAAAGTATCAAAAATGTGATAAATGATACCTTATTCAAATATGGGATTGGAGTTCTATATTGTTTCATGTTCAGGCTGACAGTATTTGTTTACATACTAAGGCAAATCACGATGTCGTATAGAGTTCATCTTAAAGTCTACGTAGAAATTGAGATTGCAGAATGTGAAAAATGTTATACTCCGTTAAGACGAACACGACGCAGATGATAAAGCCGACTCATGTTATGGCTTGTATGTATATATTGGCTTTACTATTACTCTTGGAAACGTACCAAGAGGAACAGATAATAATCACGTTATACGCGACTGATAGGCTTTGATAATCTGAAACGATATAGAAAAATCAGTATTTTAATAATAATTTTGTTTGGTTGTACGGGTTTTTTGAATTTTGTTGGTTAGATATTTCGAGAAATCTGAAAAGTCGGGGGCACTGTTTCGTGTTACACGTTACTTTCCAAATAAAAACCTGAGTTTAGAAAGAAAGCAGAAATTATTTTGTACTACTTACTGTGTTCTCCCATTTGATTGAAAGTTAAAATATTACATTACTAACCATAAAATGCAGAAGCGGCATGATAATTTAATTCAAGAATTTAACTATACATAAGCAGAATAATATTTCGTAGACGTCAATGTTAACGCATGGTAATAGGTGCAACTGTATTTTGCCACCACAGGTGTGATTCTCACAAGTTGGTAGCTACGGCTCACATTTAAATAGGCATAAAGAGGCAGCCTATTTCTTGTGATCTACTGAAGGCCAGCCATTGTAGTTATAAAAGTGGGCAACCGAAGATTATTAAAGTCGAAAACCGACAAAAACATAAGTAATGTTCAAGAGAGTAACGTCGCCACCTAAACAGATATTCATGGCTAGCGCTTCATACATAAATTTCTAGTCATTTATAACCTTGTAGCTGCAGGAATGTCGTGTGGTAACATTATGGCACATGTACACAAAGCCTACCTTGCAACGGATGATGTGTCCATGGAGATGCAGACGCCCCAGAGGTAGCGTTGTGCACCGACTCCTAGTTCGGCTCGCCGCCACCTTGTTGTTGCTGCGCTGCTACTGCCGCCGCGGCAGCAACCGCGGCTTTCTGCGCCTGCGCCTGTTTCTCCTGTTCGTTTAATTCCTTGATCGCCTGAATTTCCTTTTTGAGTTTCATCCGTCGATTTTGGAACCAAATTTTGATCTGTCGCTCCGTGAGACATAACGCATGCGCCATCTCGATACGTCGTCGTCGCGTGAGGTAGTGATTTGTGTGAAATTCCTTTTCCAACTCCAGTGTCTGGTAACGAGTGTACGTCTGACGACCTCTCCGGCGCAGACCATTGGCTCCTGCAAAGAAAAAAGAAGTATACAGAACAAAGACATTAACAGTTTCGTATTATTTGGAGCAGGGGTACCAGGTAAAAATCCCGAGAGCACGAAAGCACAAAAGAAATTCCTGGAATAAAATCTCAGAGGTGGAAGATAAAACTTCGGTCTTAGGTGTCCCATCATAGTAATTACGACTACTATTTCTGCAAAAGCACATTACAATCTCTGATTAACATTTATTGTCATTTGTAATTTAAAAAAAAAATAGAAATGATTTTTTTTTAAATTTGACGTTAAATTTATTCACTTGCATTCATAGTGTGTTTGATTAAGTTTCAAGTTTCCTATATAGAAAAGAAAAAAGAAAAAAAGAAAACACCACTCCGCAGAACAAGGCTTAGATGGGAGGACAGTATTAAAATTTATTTTATTGAAATCCGATGTAGTAATGTGGATCAGATTCATGAAGCCCAGTGTAAGGACCAGTGGAGGGTTCTTGTGAATACGGTAATGAATCTTCGAGTTCCAGACAATTGACTGATTGATTAATTATTGACTGAGAAAATATAAGTTTGTCAATAATCAATCTGCTCCATGAAATTATCTTGCTAGTAACAACATTTGTAGACAAAATAAGTGATCCATAAAATGTGCCTACTTTACAAAATATTATAAGATTGGCTACCGATGCATTTATGAACGAATACAAAACAGCAGTTTTTATACAAGAATACACGTTCCTCACGTCTGTTTGCGAATGCGTTTGAGAGTCTGGTATGTATAAGACGGTTTCTAAACCATTTCAACTAGTTAGATTCATGGAAATAATATTACTTTATTTCCAAAGCTTGCTCTGATCCATATTATTTGTAGAGGGCTGAGATCCTTGCTTTCTTAATTGTACTTTCGTTCCATGCGTACAGCTGGGTTAATGTCCAATTCTGGCATCGAAATCTCCACAGGATACGGCATGGAGCCGAGTCCGTACAAACTGGCGGGCGGTCTTTCTAACCACCTACTTTATGGGCCAACTATCTCTTACACAGCCGCCTTCTGTGCTTTATGTGAGTTATGAACTAACAACCTTACATCGTTCGTTTCTGTAAACTCTGTTATTTGTCACTTCGACTTTCAAAACCTTTATCAATACTACACCACTGCTCAATGTTAAAAACTAAGGGCAAGTTGTAAACAATCATAACCAAATACAATGAATTAATTAAGTAAATACGATCAAAACAAAAATATACAAAAATTCCTATTTTGTTAGCATGACGTCTTCGATTTCATTGTTGCGTGAAGTCGGAATTAATATTTTAGGCATTATAAGTGTTTAATTTATAATGTGTGACTATGTATTAAATATAACAAAGACCACAGTCAGTTATAAGAAAAATAGCCATCATAAGTTATTGCGCTATTTTTATCGTACTGTTCATATTACATTTACTGAATGTGAATTTAAATGAAATTTAAATAAGCACGTGTTTCGTGCTTTTATCTTTGCACTACCATAGTGTGTTTACCTTGAACGTCTGTAAGGATTGTCATGCCTCATACGAAGACGCCAAGAAGATCTTCATGCCACCATGCTTCTACAAAGCCACAAGATACGTGAAACGCACAATACGAGGACAATCTCAGAAAATGATGCATTAATGTTGCTCTGAGTAGCGTTGTAAATAGCCTTCACCGCCATATTACGAATTCGATCAGTCAAAACAAAAAGCATTAAGCACGGAGATGTTTCAAGTCCATTCCATTTTGCAGTGCTCACGTTCCATATGCTATCAAAAGCAAGTCATAGCTTACTCTCTGTTCTGTTTATTATCATAGTTCTTGTCAAATATTAGGGATTTGCAGGGTTCTTTTGTTGCCTAGTAGAGTGATATAATCTCATCATAGATGCTTCAGGCAACTGCAAATGCCGGCCAACCAGTTAAGTTCATACCAAAAATATCTTTACGTAAAAACATAATCGGAAATTACAGAAGATAGCTGAAACACATTTCATGTAATAGATAATGCGTATTCAGCAGCTTGTATGACATGGTGAAGAATATGAGAACCGCAGGTTCTTAATATTTTATAAGATATCATGTCGCAAGAGAAGACGATCATAGCACCACAGGTGAATCGTAGCTGTGGTTATCTATGAGCAGAAGACTTCTTCCCCTCCTCTATTATAAACATTCTCCTTACTGGAATTATATGCATGTATATATTATAATGAATGTATTATCAGAACATCCGCCGTCATATAAAACACATAATATCCCACCTTTTGTCAAGTTAAGCTTGTCTTGGGCATAGCCAGAACTTGTTTCAGTATCTTGCCAGCCAGTTCCAAACGCCATTATAGTCCGCGCCTTCTGATTGGTTAAACAGGTTTTTAAAGACTTCAGACAAGTTCTTACTAAACTGTAAGAGGATGAGAGATGAGAACAAGAGAGAGAGGGAGAGAGAGAGAGAAAGATAAAGGCGGAAAGAGGAGAAAAGATGAAGTGGCATAGGGTTGGAACATGTCCACCGAGCCCGGTTTCAACCCACAGGTAAGAACTGGTCACGTTGGTACAGATCACAACAAAAGTTTCATCCACAAACAACAGCTAAAATAATATATACTGCACCTGCAACAGAAAGAAGTGTGAAGCACTTGTATGATATTGAATTCGTACGTGTGTTTATGTATGTATGTATGTGTAAGTACGTATGCATGTATTTATGTACGTAATGTATGTACGTATGTGTGTGTGATATGTGGGTTTATCTGCGTTATCGACTTCTGATTCCCCAATCACCATTCTTCTCTACCTAAGTCCTTCTTTCACTCCTTGGTCAATGCATCATAGATCCCCAACAAATTCTCAGTATTCAATTCTTCCTCCTTCCTGGAGGATAATCATATGGAAATTTATTGAAAGATCGAAAAGGAGATGAGAGCATTAAGTTTGATCTTCGGGAAACTGGTTTCGACGGAGAAGAGATGGGAGATGGATAAACTGACTCAGGACTCTGTCCAATGCCTGGCTTCTTCTCGTAAATTAGCGAAGTAGATATTTCGTATTCCATTGCCCGTAAGTTAGCAGGTTTATCGGTTAAAACAGAAAGACAAATACACTGAACTGCAATTGGAAAGATTTTCAATCGCCTGTGTACGTAGTGGAAAATTAGTACAATATAGGCCTATAGCACATACACAACTCTTGCTTGTGCTGATAACAAATTTGGCCAATAAATGTTGCTCGTTTTCTACATTTAAACATGATTCTATGAAAAGCGAAATACGAATTTTATTAGCTTAGCTATAAAAGATATATTCGTTAATTTTTTTCAAACTACACGATAACTTTTTACAAGAAATTATTAATGAACTTACGTCAAAGCAGAAAAATATCTTACTTGAAAGGCGTCTACATTCGGGCATTTATTTTTACATATGAAGGTCAAATAACTTACAAGATTCCTCCAAAGTATCCATAAAGAAGTATTATATATGAAGCAAGATAGTAGTGATAATAAAAGGTGCAATACTACCTGCAGACCTTAACACAACGCACACGACACTCATGATAGCGTTTGACAAATATGTAAAAGAATGTTGCAAGTTTTCTTTTGTAGGAAGCTCGTGCATTTCTACCAGATTATTTATAGATGGAAACCTTCACGTGAACTTGAAAAAGAATGAGAAAAAAGTGACTTAATCAGACAAATCAAAGTGTATCACCTAGTAAAGTAACAGTAACACAAATTCATGATTTAAATACGCATCAATAATATTTCGGTAACAAAATAAAAGAGGCAAGAAGAATTATTACAGACCTAAATCAATTTAGATCCTAATTAGTATACCAATAACCTGTAATTTCACATTACATCAAGATAACCAAGGCTAATATTTCAAGTAGTCTACAAGATTAACGCATACGGTGCCTTTCTATAACGTGAAGACGGAAGTAGTGCTTATAAGTACTTACAAAGTGCAATGCCACTGGAAATACTCTCTTGTTTTGGAATGTAACATAAGTTTTCATACATGCACTATAATTTATGACAGCTGTAGTTTTTATCAGTTAACAACATTGGCCAGTCCCCGTTTACTTACGCGCTATTACGAATTTTAGTAATACATAAAACATTGTTTTATGAACACTGATTTACAATGATAAAAAATTTCCTTACTGAACCTTACGACTGCGTCTATAAATTATCGAGGTAACAATATCTCACCCGTTTTATGTAATATTTTTACTGTTACACATTTAACCGAAATTATAGTTTCGTCTAACATTCGTAAATTATCAATTTTCAATTTAGTAAAAAGTAAATAAAACCTGTTTTAAATTTTCTGAGCATTCGTAATTGTAACTTAACAGAAGCCTAAGTACTAGGACAGCTTCCACGTTTTCATAGCAAAAATTTGAAGAAGTAATAGGCCCTGTATAAAAGATAATATACTGAAATTCCTAACTCCTATTGGCTCCCTTTATAATTGAGGTCTCAATTATGGCATGTAGACATAACCGTGAAATATATGGTGATTACTGTCTTGGGCGTTTCTTGTCAGTCATATTTATGTACAGTCAAGGTAGAATGTTGTGTTATTAGTATGTAATGATAGCATGCCAAGTAGCTGCGGGCTAGAAATATAAAGATGAAGTTATAAAGCTTGAAGCAATGATTTTACATTTCTCGAAGCTTTATATGTACTATATCGGAACATATAAAAGATTGCACCTAATTTGTATTTATTCACCTTATAAGACTGCAATCGAATAGTTACAATTTCATTACTAAAACCTTTAAAACACCTATGATAGTTTTCACAATTCGTTACGTTCGGCAAAAAGCTATTAGTATATTTATTTTAAGGACACATTCAATATGTTTGTGATTAGAAAAAATGAACCTTCTAACATGCACACTTTTTAATTAATAAAGCTAACAGAATGCGCAAAATCATCTATATTTAAATTTCAATATTTGCTTCATATGTTCTGTCACAATGCAATGTTGCA